TGTTTCAACATGATGATCAACTGCTGTCAGTGGCCGGGAAGGGTTGACAAAGGACAATGGTTTCTGGACTGAAGAGTCGTAGAGACTGAAGACACACTGCCTATCCTGATGAACCAACCCCTAATAATCACAGTGGTAGAGTACGTAAACAACCATTCATTCACATATTTGGGCGATTTTGGCAATACATTTGGTTGGAAAACCGTGCTGGTGACATTCACTGCTTGCAAAAACATTTGGAATCATTGCGTGGAAGAAGAAACAAAGTGCGTTAATAGAGATGAATAAAACTAGGACTGATCTTAGGTCTATTGACCATTTTTTGCCACTGCGACAAAACACCAAAAGGGAGCAGTTGGGTTCGTTTAGTATGTCGCTTTTGAAAAGGAACATACACACACAGGGAAAATAGGGCATAAAGGGCAGGAAAAGCATGTCATGTAGCTGAATGATGAATTTTAACCCTTGCTCATGTGGACCTAATCACTGCTCTTCACAGCTTTTTCACAATAGTACTCTTAAATGAACTGTTGACTGTCTGTACTAAGGTCAGGATATGGTAAAGGTGCATTTTTTAAATATTTCAAATTGTAGAAAAGGAGAGCACTGTTATGACATTGATACTACTCGATATTGGCAGATGCACAGCTCGGTTAGGAACAAATCGAACAGTTTACACTGCAAGAAAAATCTCTCTCTATTGAAATGCTGTGCATTGCTTCAAAAAAAAATTTTACATAAAAAATTATTGGGAACTAATTAGCTTTTAATTAGAATGCTCTTAGTACGTAAGGCTAGCTCTTAGGAAGAGTCCTTCACAAAGTGGAAGTGTCATCATGTGAATAGCCAACATGCTGCACTTGTAATTAAAAACCCAATCATGTATGATCATGTTACTTTTAAACATAGACCTGCTTTACTGACATGGTTGTAGAGGTTTTTGGTAGGATTTTACCCTAATTAGACTGATTTAAGTACAGGCATGCAGATGACATACAACAAAGGCTCTGGTTGTTTTAAACCCGGGTCATACATGTGCAGCTGAGCTCCCTTACATGTAATATGTTTACATAGGCATCTTATGGTTGCATTGATGTTGCCTTGATGAGTGGGTTCCATGCTTTTTACAGGCGCATGCTCATTATGCAGCGAAAATTAAAGTAAAAGCAAGCCATGAGGTTTTTGTGGGACTTTTTTCTTGTTCTCACTTTAGGTCCGGGGGTTGAAGGATTAATTGAGGGAGGGTCATTTTCAGTTGCTGTTTATATAACATAAGACACTGGAGATGTGATTAAAGGTCATAGAAAAACCTGATTTGGACTTTATTTGTGAACTTTAAATGAAAGCATGGATGTTCCTGGAGAAGTATGGTCAGCAGATGGTGCACTGACAAATTGTTCGTTTTTTTGCCAATATGACCTGGTTAATTTGTTTGACATGGTTGTCTATAATCTGATGTTAAACAGTTGGTGCACTACAGGCTGGCATTGCATGCTTATGATTTACCAGTTTAACACTTTAAAAACTGACTTGAGGTCATTTTTAGGGAAATATCTCTTTATGTCAGCATATTTTAGCACCCTATTATTGTGTTTCAGTTTTACAAGGGATGTCTAGTCTCAGCCCATCCCAGCACCACAAACAGAAAACCATATGAGATCAAAGGATGGTAATGAAGCTAACCGCTAACTGCAGGTCTTAAAAGCACATGTTAGAAGGAAAACGGCATACGTTTACTTTCATGAAACTCCATCAGGCACAAACTAAATATATTCTAAGGGCTGTGATTCCAGCCCGGATGAATGTACTTTCAGTCAGGGCTTGTCAAAACCAAATATTTTCAGATGGGTATATATTTTTCACATCAATACTGAAAAAAAAGAGTAATCACTAGCATCTTTGTACATTTGTACACAATAATTGCAAGCCGAGAACGCTTTATGCCTTTTCTGGACAGCCATTATAGTTTGAACATGTTCTCCACTACTGTATGTTTTGATTACTATCCTCTAAAAGGGTCTGTTGCAGAAGAGTGGCAGATTACAGGCAGTTTTTGGGACCATTATGGTAGCGTACACAACAGCAGTTGTTGTAAAAGGTTGTTTTTGTTTGTCTTGTCCTTTGAAAACCAAAAATAGATCTTGCTAGCCTGAATCCTAATAGCCAACATCAATACATTCTTGTTATCATTCGAAATGATTCACATTAATTGTTATTTTTCACAGCACTGGTGACAGTTCATCAAGTTTCTTAGCATAAAGATTGGAGAAAACGCTCTAGTAGCATGGCTCTTTTTGCAGTTGAAAGTCTGCCTAGCAACACCCTAGAAAACGTAGAAATCAACGTTTTATTTTGCCAAGACTCCCTCGTTATGCTAAGCTGCTAATCAACTCCCTGGTCTAGCTCGATATCTGTGTCCATATTTGTGTTGCTTTTTAAGGGAAAGCCAAAACTACTAAAAAATACTAATCATTTTAAAGACATGAGTTGAGTTCACATCATTCCCAACCACTGTGTGATCAGCAGTGGTTCAAACATTCAACATGATATGATTCGACTTTATGTCAGATCAAGTCTACAAATATTCTTGCATCTCAGGAAGTTCATAGCCTACTGTGAAGCATACACTATTTATGTATACTCAAAATATAACATTTCAAGAACTTAATTAACCAATAATAAATACAATCAAATGTTATTAGATCTCTGCTAGCACAGGCAGGATAAACATGCTAACAACAGTTAGCATCGATAGAATCCAGGAAACTGACAACATGGTGAAACCTATAGAAACAAATATTTAGCTGACTACAAAACATTCTCATGCCAGAGACTATAACACCAAAGTGAAAATACACCCAGGATTTATTTCCTTCTAAAGTCAAAAGACATGTAGCTAAGGCAAAACAAGTTACATCCAATCAGCAGTCATTGCCCCAGTACTTTTCCTTGGACTAATGATGATCCTCCACCTAGTCTATGGTGATCTGTTAGACACAAGTAAGGAGTATGTCAGGACCCCGTGGGTGGTCAGTAAACATCTGCTGGTGAGAGTTGTGTGGTAAGAGCTAACATTGGCCCAAGCAACCACATCATTTGCCAAGTCATCCCGAACCAAGCCTCTCTCATTCTCACGTCTAAGTGTCTGCAAGAAATCCAGGAGGCGTTGCAAGGTGAGGGATAATGATGGGCATGTGTGTAATAACAGCATTTGTAGATATAACAGCACTCTGTGGCTAAGTTCCTGCCGTGTGTTCAGACTTTGATTCAGTTCAATCCTTAATCAGCACTACGCAGCTTGGACCATTTTGGAAGGAAGCACATCACACTGTCATGGCTTTGCTCATTGGTCCATCATTATGTCTAATGAAAATACCTCAACAGGGAAGCTTTAAATTAAAAATCAATCATCTTCAGCGACAACAAGCTGACACTGTTTAGATTTTTGAAATGTCCATCTTCTATAATTGCTATGTGGGTCTTACTGCATATTTCTCCATCATTATTTACCAAATGCGCATTTAATATACATACAGCTGTTGTGAAATTTGCATTTAATGGTTAACACATTCAGCATTTAAGCGTGCGAGAGTCAAAGCACTAACAATGTTTATGTTTCTGGTGCTGCTATTCTTTATGTGAAGCATGCTAGTTCTGTATATGTTAGACATGCTGTATGCCGTAAATAAAACCATGACATGATGTAATGCCCTGAGCATATGGCGTGTGGCGTTACAAAGAATGTTTGGACAGTTTATAGATGGATAAGCAACAAGGATAGACAATCTACAAAATCCAATGCTCTTATAGATTTTACATTATTGGACTATTTCTTTCTTAATTGTGCTTTCAGTCATCTGTTATTTTGAAATATGTGTCTTCCTCCTTCAATGGTAATGTGCAACTATTCATCAAAAACCTACCCCTGTCGTGATGAGATGTGATTGAATGTTTTGCATTGAAACTTCAATGCTGCATTAACTTCTCTGAGAACTGCCACGTGGAGAAATGTGCTCTTCAGAAGGAGTTCCAGGGGGAAAAATGCAATTTATCTGTGGAAGTCTGTGGAATTTTATAATGTCTAAAAGGTGGTGTTTAAGAATTTAGAAGAAAGAAAAAAAGGCCAAAACGCAGTTTCGTCTGGCATATGTTACTGTACATATAACATTTACAAATGAATGTAAATGTACTTTGCATAATGTAATATGATTATTGAATAAATATAGATTGATTCATACATTGAAGTATGCCCAGGTATGTCGTTTTTGTGAGTAGGCTTATTATCTTATAATGCATGATGTTACACAAATCAAAAAGAAGCTGGGTCAGTACTGATGCCAAATTAAGTTACTAACAGTGACACAACAGAAGTACAACATGGTACAACTGTTCCCTGCAGCTTTCATGTTTGCATCAAAAAATAAAACGACAGATTTGAGTTACCAGCAGGTAGAATACGTTTAACTGTGTGAGTTTTCTTTGTTTATTTTCTGCCTATTTTGTTAAATGTTGATTTATGTCTGATAGTTTAATGTGGCTGCAGTTTATTTTACATGCTTTTTCATCTATTTATTTTATAAAATGACTTACTACCAGGCAGCATAATTTAGCAGTCAGTTATTGCATGATAGGACATGCTGTACTCAATTCATGTTGACATCTCTCTGAGCGACTGCTATGCTGCCTTCATGTGCTCCTCGTGTGTCAAACATTCTGATTTCAATAACTATACTGGTAAGCCGCAGACTTACCAGTATAGTTACAGTAGAGGCATGGTACATTGTTATCGTTGAAAATAACCTTTACATCAACGACAACAACAAAAACAACAACAACAAAAACAACAACAACAACGGACAGCTGAGAATACATCAAATGAAATATACGACTTTCTCAGACCACCTGTAACATTTCCGACACTCCTCGAAGGCAGCATGCAATCGGGGAGAGGGCTCGAGAGAGGAGGGGGGCGTGACGTCATGGCACAGTGCCCCGTCCATGTTTGGCGAAGAAAAAGTTTATGTAGTTTCGACAAACTCTTGTCACCACCAACGACTTGGGCTAAGGAGCAGCAACATTTGTCTCCATACCTTTTACTTTTGCTTTGGGGTTTGTGATACGAACTTACCATCACGACATGATTTATCTTAGGTGACCTTGCTTAATTGGTCATCATTATTAAGTTAGCGTTACCAAAAAAAAAGACCATAGCGGGCGGTTCTGGATTTACGTCCCACTCACGTTTCAATGAAAGGCTAATTGCTGGGTCGTTCAATAGGTCCAGCTAACGTTACCCCTGGATGGACTCCTGTCTTTTTTCGTCGCCCATAATTGATGAATAAGGTACTTATTCCTCCGGGAGTCTCGCATCCTCCGTCGGGTGGTCTCGTATGAAACGTTTCGTGGCAGCGACTAGGGGTCGGGTGCTCCGCTAGCAGAGCCCGGCTTCAGGATGAGGATGCCCAGAGGAGGACGCCTGCTCCTGGCGACGTGCCTCGGCTCGCTCTTCGTGCTAGTGATTTACTTTCAGACCATCATCAAGCCAGGTATGACCCCACATACACTCCGCTTCCTGACCCAAATAACCACACTAACAGTATGGCAAGATTATTCGGCTGAAGTGTCGTTTTCACTAGAATAAGTTGCTATATGAACATAAGAATCACACAGCTACCTACTGACAGTGATGAAGTAAGTGGTTAACAGTGCGGTGGTACTGAATACACTTTTAATGCAGCATTCAGGCTTTAAATAAGTGTTCTAACAATAATGTGGCCACAAAAAGCATTACCGGTACACCTGTTGGTGTTAAACTGCTGTGTGCATTACATTAATGCACACAATGTTCAAATACTGCTTACTGCACATATTCTTATTTCATATTCTATAACTCATTGCATTCCATTTCGCTGTAAATTACTGCTTTATTTTATTGCTATTTAACTATATTTTATTACAGTGTCCTTAAAGATGTTGTGTTTTATATTAGAGTTTTTGTTTTATATGTTATGTATGCACCATGACATCAAGTCAAATTCCTCGTATGTGTGAACCTACCTGGCAATAAACCCGTTTCTGATTCTGAAGTGAAATGAAGAATGAGCTCACTGTGAACGGTGTGATGTTTTGATAGCCCCCTCCCAGCGACCCCCTGCATTCCTGTGCGTTAACCCTCCTCTCTCTTCTTACCTCTCCTCTCCCTTTGTTCCCAACCCCTTAAAGACATCGAAAGACAGATTGCCCCCCCCCCCTCCCGGGGACTGCAGACACCTAGGAGTAGGAGCAAAGGGGAGAAAGAGGGAGATAGATGATTGATAGCATTGTGGATAGTATGGAGTGGAGAAGGAGGAAGAGAATGCGGCACAGAGGAGAAACCAGTATCCATTATTTGGTGATATTGTAGGGTATAATGTTCACAGCTTCACATATGAAAACATTGACAATCATCATTACACCCATAACTTCACCTTGATTGTCTCCAGCACTCATCACATGATCTAACAGTTAAAAACCACATCAATAAATCAGCTTCCACCAAACATGGAACAATGTTGTCATTCACACAAGCTGCATGTAGCCAACAACAACACATGTTAGAAACCCCTGCAGCAGCAGAGTGTACTCTGATAGCTTAGCTTGTGAGCTGTTCAGGCGTGTCTGCTTTACAGTAGACACGAGAGCCACATGTAAAGCATGTTGGAGCCACACTTGAGAGGACCAATTCACAGGATGTCAACAAAGCACAGGGCTTCCTTAATTACCGTGTATCTAAGTCGAAGCCAACGCCAACTGTCTTGTTTAGTTCTGTGTTATCCCTTTCATTTCTCACTTCCTACCCTGTTTAAATCTGACTGCAGCACAGTCAAGTAAATCATGGCATAAGGAACCAGCCGGTAGTCCTTAACTAGAATAATCTGTTGCAAAACGTATGTGTCTTGACTTTGAATAATGAAATACACCTAAACCATGACAGGTTATTCATTAGGTGTTCATATTTCTAATTCCATCCTGATCGTTTTCTGTCAAAGCTCCTGTATAAAGTCGTATCTGCTATAGTGATAAGTTAGTGTGATGAATAGAGTATAGTGTCTGTCTGAAAAATGTGAAACACGACAACACCTCATGATCACAATTCATGGAAATATCTTGAGTATGACGTGTTGTCACAACCACAAACTGTATGATAATGTGTCACACGTCTATTTCCTTTAACACTGCACATTTAAAACGCATTTCCATAGTGTGTTTAACCAACACCCAGATTATAGAGGATAAGAGATGTGCGTTTCCTTCCTGTAATGTCGCCTTCATTTTGGATGGAGTGGAGAAAACCGTTGTAATGTAATAAGCTTAACCGTGTGGTTGGCGTTATGTTACTTGTGATACTGCTGGGACTGTTCCAGTCTATAACACGATGATATGCAGTCACCTGTGAAGGTCAAATATGACAAAAGCCAAATCTCTGCAGCATCCTCTGATCTGATTTAGCTAATTTAATTGTTTTCGTGCAACCATCATTCAAATAAACAGTTCACCCCAAAATCCAGGATGCATTTTTTTCCCTTTTACCTGCTATTAATCAATATTGACTCAGTTCAGTTGTGAGTTGCTCAGTGTTATACATATTGTCTGTAAAGATGTGTTCTCTTAATGAAATATAATGGAACTACATGGTGTTTGGCCTGTTGTGCGCCAACTTCAAAAAAGGACAAACTTGAAAAACTCAATAGCAATTTCCAAAAATCATTACCCCATTACTCAAGATAATCAACAGGCTTTGTTGTGAGAAGTTTTATTCAGAAATATTTTTGATTTGAAGTCTGCAACTCCAGTGCTAGGATGGAGTCATAGCAGCGGTGCTAAGGCACGTGGGCCCAGCATAATGTGAGCGCGGGGAATTTTTTAGTGCTTGCGAAGTGCGCCCCGCTAATTTGTTTCTATGAGTCTGCCAGCACAAGAAAGGCTCTTGAGGCCTATTACCAGGGCCTATTACGTTATCTAGACAATTTGCTGCTGGTTTTGGTAGTGGTGGTGGTGGCGAAGTCGATAGGGACTTGGCTTGGCAACTGGAAGGTCACCAGTTCAAGTCCCGGCAAGACCAAGTGCTACAGAGGTGTCCCTGAGCAAGGCACCGTTCCCCACACTGCTCCCCGGGCGCTGTTCAAAAAGGCAGCACACTGCTCCTAACACTATGGATGGGTCAAATGCAGAGAAACCATTTCCCCACGAGGGATTAATAAAAGTCCAACTAAAAATATGTCTTATATAAAGATTAAATGAAAAATCTCTACAAAAGACAAAAACAGAAACTTATGGACATAGGTAATATACGTCAACATGGCTTCAAATGTATTGTATGAACATGTTTTAATTGGGGGGTGGACATCACATCCTCTAGGGGGGTCCGGGGGTATGCCCCCCCGGGAAGATTTCTTTGAACATTTTAAAGTAAAATGCTTCAATCTGGTGCACTTTGAGCACACAATTACTAGAGACCTGATCTAGGGGGTACAACTCTAAACACCCATATGAAAAATATCCGTTTACATTTTAATAATCAAATAAGTATATGAACATAACCAATAGCCTACCATAGCCAATAACAAATACATGTAACTATTTTATTTTTGTTGTTCATTCATATCTTATTTTACCTTAACATTTATTTATTCATGCATTTTTTTGTATCTCTCCAACTTTAAACGATATTTTTGATTTATTGTCCTATAGTATACATTGAAATGATTTCAAACCTGTTTTTATTTAACCTAATAATTATAAAGGAGTGCTTTTGAAATATGTGTTTACATAATTTGTAAACACATATTTGTTTGAGACCCACTGAGATAACTTAGACTAAAATTAACTATCTAAACACTCAGAGAGTCCCTAACCTCACCTGAGCTGTTTTTCTCTCTCAGTCTGACAGCAGAGGACTCTCCCTCCACCTTGTTGTTGAAACAGCTCCTTATGTCTTTTAGAGCAGCTAGCTAACCAGATGCTAACAACAAAAATACAAGTAACCGGTGCGCGCTCTCTCTTTCTCTCTCTCGCTCGCGCCACACATACACTAACACACACCCTCCCGAGCTTGAATGACACACAGAGACCAATCGAGGGCTTTGATTTATGATCGGTATGGAAGTGGCCATGTCGGCAGGCCACATCATGTAGACAGCCAGTCACCCTGAGTGAGGCAAACCCACATTTGCGCAGCGTTGCGTTCACAATACATAATTTAAAAAAAATCGCCAGACCAGCATGCCACTTAACAGGCCAGGCCATCGGGAAACCTCCCGGTCCTCCCCATGGCCAGTCCGGGCCTGCCTATTACATACAGTGGCAATGTCTCAAGATTTAGCAAAATACACCTTTTTGAACATACAGTAACACAAATACTAAAAATCCACATAACAAACAATCAAAAAGGGTCGGCACTTATCATTATTTATACATGTTTGGTACCTGGCTGGCGCCCCCTAGCAGCGGCGCGCATATTCCAGCAGCAGCGCAGAGCCGCCGCTATTTGTATATAGGGGAAACACTGAACTCAGAGCAAAACTATACAGATTGATGAAAAGCACTAAAGGGAAAAGTATAAACACAGGCTTTCTATGAGTCATTTTAAAGTGTGCTCATGTTTCCAGTTCACTTGTCTTCAAAGTTAAATCTCGTAATTAAGCCTACTGTTTAATACCGGAGAGGAAGCACAGTCTATATTAGTGTTGTGATTCTATTGTCTGACTTCCTGGACCAACACCCAGGGGTTTGGCCCTCAGGAAAACATTGGACTTTTAGTCCAATAGACTATTATAAACTCATTAGGTAAGTCATGTCAGATTTGTGTCTGTGTTAGCTGTTTATTTATTGAGGAATTTGAGTTGGTTTTATTCAGAAATTAATTAAAACCTTTGTTCTAGTTCCTTTATGTGAGAGATTGCTGCACACATAGACCATTGAATGATGTTTAGTCCAAACCAATATTCAAGGCTTTATTGTCCCGTGCACAGTAGTACAGTGTACATATGGCAATGAGAAACCTCAGTCGCAGGCTCCTCCAACAGTGCAACATGAAACAAGGTTTCAGTATTCTGTAGCAGTTAAAGCCTGCAGGAGTGCACAAAGATTAGCAACATGGCTAACCCTTGTAGCCTTTTGACAATAATGGACCGTTTCTTTGATAGCATAAATTACCTTTGCAGAATCAATATTGCTAGTGCAATTTAGAAATTGCGGGGAACCAGTTTGTGAGACTGACCGTTGAGCGGCCCGACCAAGCAAGGAGGCAGAGGCAGAACGTCCAAATACAACCCGGTGTGGGCATTTATTCAAATCATGGGCACATGATTCACAGCCTCAATTGCTGTCCACCTGAACACAGTCAGCAGCCACAAGGATCTCACACACACTACCTGTCCACTGACAGGGAAAACAGAGCCGAAATACACACACACACTAATCAATCAACAAGACACAGGTGGGGGGGGGGGAGGGGACAACACAGGGCACCAGGTGAACACAATCAGGAGCAACAGACAAAACAGGT